ACGTCATTGTAATAGATCTACTCGAGTGCTTGTCCCCGCAACAGTGTCGCTACGAGCCGAATCCTTGTTGTGTCGTGTGTCGGGGTCGAACAGCCAATGGCCTCGAAGTAAATCTCGAGAGTTATCACGAATCGTCGAACGTCCGATCCCTTCGCACTTGGATCGAATGCTTTGGGGAGCCTCGGGCGAGCTGCTTCGAGGTTCAGTCCGTGAAATGTCGGTGTCGCCGCTGCTGCTGCTGTCGCTGCTGCGTTCGCTGCCGCATTTACTGCTGCAGTGGCGGCTACCGATTGGTTCGTCAGGAGGGCTTCGATTCGCCGAATCGCCGCCTGCGTCTGTTCCACGTCGGTGCGAAGGCCGACGATGTCGTGGGTGGTCGCGTGATTGTCGCCTTGGCCCTCCATTCCTGACATTGTGCGTCCGAAAAAACGAAACGAGGGGGAGTGAAAAACACGGAACCGGTCTTACGTACCCGAAATCGGTGTTTAACAGTCGTCGCCCCGGCGGTTTTGGACGGTTTTTAGTGGTAAAAAAAACTTTGCATGTAAACGTGCTCTGATAACCAAGTGCGAGGATCGAGGATCGAGTTCAGGAAAAACAAATCTAAATTAATTGATTCACCTAAGTACAACACGAAGCTATATATAGCCTCGACACAAGGCAGGTAACCCAGGTGTTACGCGAATGTTCTGAGGGTCGCGAAGCGTCCTGAACAGAACCTTCCCGAACTCGGTAGAAAGCAATTCGGTAGGCTTGAGTTTGGTACACGTAACCTGGTTCGGTGCTATAACTATAAAAGTAGACAGGAATGCACCTAACCTAGGAAATCAAGCATAACTATGCATGAGAAAATAAACCTAAGCTAGAAATAGCATAATAAAGTCTAGGCAGGCTAGCAAAGCCAACATAAGCCATCGTACTCTCACAATCCTGACTTATGGTCATGGACATTGCTCCGATCTTTCGTGATTTACCGCATTTCTGCATCTTGATGATAGCGTGACTTGCCGAACAAAGAAGGTGCCATTGATGCGCTCATTGCCAGCAGCGACATAACCAATCTGAGCCACAATGGTAGGAAAAAAATATGGCCTCTGTAGATCATGGTCGCTAATATACCCCGTGAGCATCGCTCGAAAGTATCGTCTCGTTAGTTGGTAGCGTTGTTACCGCTGCTTGAAGTTGATCTCCCAGCCGTGGTGAAGACATACTTGTTCAACAGGATCTCGAGATAGTGTTTCAGCCGTTGATCGACGCTTCATACTCGTGAGCTATTGTCCTTATAAGTCAATCCGTCTTGAGCAAAACAGTTCAGCGTGGTGGAATGTGCTCAGTACTTACGGGCATTAACATGTCCGTATCTTATACAGGGGGGTCCCGATTCTGGATCCACATGGGGTGAGCCGCACTGTTTACCCACTCCTATACCCTTGTGCAGTGCTTCTCTAGAAGTGAAATTTCGCATAGGACCCGTATAGATGTGTGCTGCCCGACGTGCTACATGTGGTTGACATTGGAGTTTGGAAGCACATACTGGAGCAGATACATGAGACTAACTCACCGGGTGTGCTTGCTGTCATGGACTGGTCAGCCTTCCGCGGGGCATATGGTGATCGTTATTCCATGGCTTCCTTCTAACCTCAGAATTCCCTGGCAAATCGCGTACTGGCAGGCAACATGAAAGGCTGTACCGTGTGGCATGTGCAGCCGGCATCAAATTGCCTAAACCAGCCAAATATATTCCGGGTGGCGCCAACTATGCGGCTGCCGAGCACCGTGCAATGATGCAGGTGTCTGTTTTCATATTTGACAGCATTCTCATGCCGGCTCAGCTAGAGGTTTCAGTGTGCTTTTTAAAGTGGTATGCTGCATGCTTTCGGGTGCCCGAGCACACCAAGGAATCAATCAATGAAGTCATGTTGCTGCAACAGAAGTGAGTGGCTCAAGGCAGTGCGTGCACCCTGTGTGTGTGTGTGTGTGTGTGTTATTCCATCTCCTATGGCTATACCCCACTCACCTTTCCCTGTGTTGTTTTGTGCCGGTCTATTTGTTACTGACATTGTCAAAGTACAGTTTGATGGCACTTCTGAAGCGCGAGTTCCCCATGCAAGCTTCTGGTTGGAAGCTTGTCAAGGTACATGCGCTCACACATCTCCCGTATGCCATTGAAACCCACGGGGTTTTTGAGGAGTATTCAACCAACATCGTTGAGCACAGCCATGTGGGTCTTGTCAAGCGCCCCTACCGGTCCTCCAACCATAAGCGCCGACGATATTCGGCGGGCCATGCGTTCCCTTCCGACAGTGATGCAGTGTAGCCACAACTACACTAGTCCCATGGCTCAGGTCAGCTTTCACCCATGCCTCGCCATAACCATGTATAGCCCTGGCCCCTACTGTGTGTCGCATGCCCTTCACCACATGTTGCGTGCACTCACACCAAGCTTTCCCTATGGCAGGCGATGCTGGCCAGGTTGCCTGTTATGACGACCACAAGCACCACAATGAGGATTGACGTGCCCAAAGGTGAACAGCGACGGCTGTTAGACCCATGGCTGGCGTTTGAAAGAGCTTGCCAAGCTGCATGCCTCACTTTGCATTGGCCATGAGGCAGGCTGGTTTAACAACACATGTCATACAGGTATGTTTTAGCCTTTTCGTTGATGTCGTTGTGCGTGTGGCTGTAGTGGGGGCCCTAGACTGAATTGTGTGTGTGTTTTTTGCCTCTGACCCCCCTTCCTTGGTTCCAGGTGCACTCTGCAGTTGCTTTCTCTTTTGCCAGCGAGATTGGCCCACACTTGATGCGACAGCGTGGGTGCGGGCTGCCCCAAGCTTCCACGGGAAGCCGTGCTTCTCGTATGTATTCTTCACAAATGCGGGGGCTAAAGTGCAAGGGGAAAACACTGGTGCACTGGACGGTGTGATTCTGGGTACGCCTTTATTCAGGTGCTCGACAAGCACAGGGTTGATAAAGAGACTGGGGCAGATACCTACAGATTGCACACCCCATATACGGTACCGAGGCCGTAAGTTACGTGGTGGCCCCTGTGGAAAGCATTGGCGAGGTCATATACGTCGTACAGCCATTTGTTAATGATCAGGACTAATATGTTAACAGATATGTCATGTGAACATCAACAGTGCTAGCGTGCGGTTTGCTGCCCATAGGTTGTTCCTAGGCCAGTGGACTATTTGCATGCTGCCTATATTTCTGCACCTTGACAATCATGCTCTATGCCAAAAATGCAGGTAGTTCACTCTGTGGTAGCCCTAAACCATAGATCGGCAAGGGAAATTGGTTGTTGCTGAGTCATAAATACAGTGGGGACTATAATCTAGTAGTTTACAGTGCTGAGTGCTTGGGTTATTTGTTCTTTATTGGGACAAGAAGAAAGACAAGGGTACATTATGTTTTAGTTCACGGCACGTTTACTATCGAGTTCGGCGTACACTGTTTACGTTTCCCAAAGCCTTGATGTCGTTAGGGCGGGTCAGGTAGGTTACGTTTTCACAATTTTTTCATTTCAGGACCCGAGTTGAGTGCGTAACTGTACTTTTTATGCAATTTTTTTTCGCGGACACGAAACGAACAGTGAGTCGGTTCAGGATGAAAACGTCCTGGATAGTTTGTTGGTCACGACTTCAGGTTCATGCCAGAAACGTGAGGCAGTTCACAATTTGTCCAGCAAAGGCTAGAGTAACAAACCGTTTTCGCCTAAACGACTTCGCTCTCTTCGCCTTTTCCGCCCGCTCGCCAAATCTGCCTCCCTATTGCCAATGCAGTATGGGTGGCGTGTGTGCTGTTCGCGCCATTGATTCGCGAGAAAGTGGTAACTACTTTTCAGGCAGGGGGTGGTTGTGTGCATGAACTGATCTGTGTCAGAACGCGCTTCACGTCATGACTAGTTTGACTCGAAGTGTACATAAAACACTTTTCGGTACAGTCAGAGAAATTGAAACAACATGCGTTATTTTTACGAAAATGGCTGAAACGCAACTACCTGACCCGCCCTTATCCGTCGATGTTGAACTCTTGATCTCACGTCACTGTACTTCGCAAAACCTGCGTGTCCGACTCTGCAAAGGTGCTGCCAGTGACCCGTTTTTGCACATGTTCGTGACCATCTGTGATATAATCAGAGTAATGGTAATCGTCAAAAAAAGCTGAAATGCTCTGTTATAGGACGGATTGTATCGTGAAAACGTCGCACGATGTTTGATGGGTGTCTGCACATGGTTGGTTATACGTGGGTGGATAACCCCCCCGACAATGTCTAACTCCGAATTAGTTGCCAACACAAAGGCGGTCGTCGCGGCATTCACCCTTGTTCTTTCTCGCTACCGTGTCGCGTTGTAGGCTCTGCAGGCATGGTTCAAGCAGGGTGACGCTAATATCATGTACCTTCAATATACGGACGGTACACCCTAATCCGCCTTATTTTCAAAGCCTCGACCGTGTTTTAAAAGAGACCCGAAATACTTATCCGTCTAGTGAGACGGACACCCAAAGATTACAGGGATATCAGAGTACGGAAGGCAATCCAGAGTGATGAGACTCGCACTTAGGGTTGCGATTGAACGGGCGGTTTGGCAATAACGAAGTTGCTGCTTGCAGTTATCTCGCGTGCGGTATGCGCGTCTATCCACCCGCTGATTTTCAGTCTACTTGAACTACCCCCATGACCTGGCCTGACCTAGGGTAGTTCCCCTAGGGTTTGAAGACAACGGCGTTGAAAATAAGGCGGAACAGGTGTACAACCACCTAAGACAAGGGTACGAAGTAACTACTCGATGTTTCTGTACCAGCCCCCCCCCGCCAAATGTTTTGGGATGCTGTATGCGAGGCACTTACCCCAGCGGCCGCGTGCCAGAGGGGCTATTGCCGACCGCCTCCGGAGCGATTGCTTCGAATTTTCTCCGTGCGCGCGCACCCGCCGTTACCCTTGGCGATTCGGCGGCGAGCGCAGCCGTGTTGCTGTCGCAGCAGCGCAGTTGTCCGCAATGACGGCGGGGACGGGCGGAGCGGGGGGGTCAAGGGTGGTGGAGAGCGGGGGAAGCGGGGACAGTCGGGAGTGGGAGATGGGAGAGGGAAGAATGCGCGGAGGACGCGTGAACGTCGTTCCGCGGCAAGAAGCGGTGGAGGAGAAGCGGGCGGGCACGGCTGCAAGGGGAGTGAGCGTGGGGGAGGTGGTGCGGGGCAGCGGCGTGGAGGAGGGAGGGCTGGCAGGCGCGTCACACATGACCGTGCGTGAGGGCGAGCACGTGGAACGAGGCTGTGCTGCAGGGGTGGGGGCGAGGGCAGCAGCAGGGCGAGGAGACAGTGCTGCAGCAGAGGAGCGGGGCACAGCAGGCCCGCTCTCAAACGCGCACGCACAGCCCGCACCCACGTGTGGTGACCTGCATGTGGTGGGCGCCGTGACGCCAGGGTCAGCTCCCACCCTAGGGGCAGCAGACCCCTGGTCACACGCGCCCTTCAGTGTGGGCAGTCACAGGAGCGCCCATGCGGATGCAGGCGCATCAATGGAGGGCCACCTGTGCAAGGAGCCATCTCTGCTCGTCTTCTCAGGTATCCCCCCGCTGCTCCCGCTGCCTCGCCTGCCCCCGTCGCCTGCCGCCACCCCTGCCGCTCTACATGCTGACGTGCGCCTCTCTCTGTGGTGCCGGTGCCGGCCTTGTGCCCTCCTGCGTGCGGCACGGCAGGAGGCACGGCTTTCAACGCGGTGGCGGAGGAGCTGCACGAGTGGACCACCGCTGTGGCGCACGTGCTGCCCGTCTCCGATGATGGCGGCAGCACCGCAGAGATCGTGCGAGTTATAGGTCAGCCACTCACACCCTGCTGTCATAGGTCAGCCACTCACACCCTGCTGTCATAGGTCAGCCACTCACACCCTGCTGTCATAGGTCAGCCACTCACACCCTGCTGTCATAGGTCAGCCACTCACACCCTGCTGTCATAGGTCAGCCACTCACACCCTGCTGTCATAGGTCAGCCACTCAGACCCTGCTGTCATAGGTCAGCCACTCACACCCTGCTGTCATAGGTCAGCCACTCACACCCTGCTGTCATAGGTCAGCCACTCACACCCTGCTGTCATAGGTCAGCCACTCACACCCTGCTGTCATAGGTCAGCCACTCACACCCTGCTGTCATAGGTCAGCCACTCACACCCTGCTGTCATAGGTCAGCCACTCACACCCTGCTGTCATAGGTCAGCCACTCACACCCTGCTGTCATAGGTCAGCCACTCACACCCTGCTGTCATAGGTCAGCCACTCACACCCTGCTGTCATAGGTCAGCCACTCACACCCTGCTGCTCTCTGCCTCACCGCCCCTCTGCGAGGTGGTTCTACTGTTGCCGCATCACGCTGCCACACCACGCTTCTCATGCTCCCTCCAGCGCCCAGCTCTCTCACTCAACACCCTCTTTGACCCCCTTTATTACGCACCACTCTCTGTGCCCCCAGGTGGGCCTGCCATCGGTGACATTCGCTCGCGCTGCCTGCGCCTGTCCGACGGGTCGAGCCACGAGGCCAGAGCAGTGCGGCGACTGCTGGGACACCGCCTGCCACTGCACCCCGCGCAAGCCAAGGCAGAATGGTGACCTCGCGCTCACACCACACCCATCACAACCACTTACTACATCCATCACCCGCCCACCGTTCTCTGTGGGCTGGTGCGCACGGCTCACAGTGTGGCGTGCCATGGGCATGTGGTGTGTATGTGTGCGGTGGGTGTGCAGGGTGAGCATAGTGGAGGGCGAGCATGAGCTGTGGGGGGGCGTGTCGGATCCATACAAGGAGATCATCCGCGCCTTCCTCCTGCACTTCCACTACCAGGTTCTCCTCGCCTCCACACCTCTGTTCCGCTCTGCTTGCAACATCTCTGATGTCACCAACAGCCCATCAGGACCTTCTCCCTCGTCCTCATGTGCCCATCCTTGTCCGCTCTCCGTCCTTTCTGCCTTGGCCCTCCATGCCAGATCCTCCGCAATGCAGGCCACCGCTTCTGCTTCCAGCATGGGAGGTGTGCGTTCTATTTCCTCCTCGCACGCCCATCCTTTTGCCATGATGTACTGACGTGACACTTGCACGCCACACCCCTTATGATGACTACCACCTCATGCTCTACACTTGTCCTTCTGACCTCCAACCATCATGCCACGCGTGCCACCTGTGTGCGCCCATGCATGGCGTGCATGGCCTGCCACCTGTGTGCGCCCGTGCATGGCGTGCATGGCCTGCCACCTGTGTGCGCCCGTGCATGGCGTGCATGGCCTGCCACCTGTGTGTGCCCGTGCATGCCTGCCAGTGTGGGCAACTTCTTCTTCTCAGGCGCGCGCTCCTTCTTCCGCTCGCTCGACGCCGCCATCTTCCTCTTCTCCCGCGTCTCCAACATCCCACAGCGCAGCCTCGTGCTGCCCTGTGTCTGCACCAACGACCGCTTCACTCTCGGCGCCGAGCTCTACGTAACCACACACCCCCCACACACACCACTTCCTCCCTTTAGCCATGCCTCTCATCCCACCTCCCATACTGACAAGGCCCCTGCCTAGCTCTTCACCGCCTGCATTGCCTATCAGTGCCGTGTGACCCACTTTGGCCCCGCATTAGCATTGCATGGCCATCCCCTTTCAGTGATTACCGTAAGGCCCATTTCTTCTTCTACTCACTCCAGTGACCTGTCCCAGTTTTCATCTAATCCCAATATCCCGCCCCTATGTCTTTGTGCGTGCGACCCGCACTTCCCGTATGCGTGTTGGCGCACCACATGGTGTGGTGTGGGCATCAGGACGGCAGCATCATCCGCGGGCAGAACTGCATCTCACACCCGGCTGTCGTGGACAGCCCCCGCCACCTGCCGCTCTCCGTCGACAAGGTCGCACTGCTCCCACCGCCCTGCTGCTGCAATGCCGCCTCTGCATGCCTTCACGGCCCCCCTCATACACACACACTTCTACCAGCCAGGTTGATGGAGTGTGCCTCACGTGTGCTCCTGCTGCCTGTCTTCCTCTCCCTTTTCCTACCCCCATTCTCTCTGCAGTCGTCTGACACGTCGCCTCCTCTACCCGCCCCGATCCGCCGTGTGTTCTACATGTCGAGTGAAGGCACCAACCTGCTGCATGAGGTGCGTGCTGCCTGCCATGGGCTCAGTGCTGCCATGTGCGCCTCCTCTGGGATGCTTCAAGCTGCCAACTGCTGGAACTGCTGCATCTTGCATGTGCCATGTGTGAAACTAAGGCCCGTTGCTGCCATCTTTCATCACCATGTGTGAGGATCGTTGGTGTGTGGTGTGTGGCAGGTGTTCCCGCGTGTGAATCCGCGAGTGCTGGAGCAGATCGCATCAGTGGATGCCATCATCTATGGCGTTGGCTCCCTCTTCACCTCCATCTGCCCCTCCCTGGTACCTACCGACACCCCTCTTTCTTACCATCTCCTCATTCTCACCAATTCTTGCTCCTGTCATGCTCTCACTATCGCTGTTCTATGCAGAGAATTATCCATCCATGTCTCCCGTTTTCGTTGCCCTCGCCACTGTCCCGTCCGCAATCCCTTTCCTCCAAACCTTAGATCTTGCGAGGGGTGGGAGAAGCAATCGCTGCACGAGCATGTCCCAAGGTATGGCCGAGTGCACTAGAGCATCCCAAGCAGGAATGCTCTGCTCTGCTGCACACCCCATCAACTCTCTTTGTTCTTCCCTTTCCATCCTCCCCTTCACCGGTTCATTTTTGTGTGGGAGGGCGTGAGTTCAGAGAAAAAGGCTCGCAGTGGCATCACATGTTGTGGGGCATGTTTTGCTCATCCGCCCCACGCGCGCATGGCATGGCAGGTGCTAGTGCTGAACGGGTCAGTGGACCGTGAGACAGCGGGCATGGCGGCGTCAGACTTCGTGCTCGCCATCTGCAACTGCCTCAACCGCACCTTCGGAGACGACTCCCACCACCGCCTCACCCACTCGGTCAGATGCACACGCCACCGCTCACACCTGTGTTTGCCTGCATGCTTTCAACTCCCACTTACCCTTCGTCCATTGCACTCGTATTCCCCTCTGTTGTGGCCACTCACTTCCAATCTCCTGCAGTCGATGCACTATGTGACGCATCTCATCGCACCAGAGGGAGGAGCCATTCCCCTTGACCATGAACGCCTCACATACTTGGGAGTCACCTCTGTGGTAAGTCTTGCCACATACCCATTGCTACAAGGTGTTATCCCCGCATGCCTGTGTGGTCTGCCTTCCATGTTATGCCGGTTGGTATGCATGATCCACAGCATTCGTGTCCCATCCCATTCGCATTTTTCTTATGTGTCGCCCTGCTACCCGCGCCAGACTATGGTGCCCTCACTTCCCTGTGAAAGCAGTACGGGAGTGCATTATGATGTTTATGCACTTGTCACAACATTGAAGGACCTCCTTACTAAACAGATGGCCAGCCAAGTAACCGCCTGAACCAGCAACCTCCTTTTTGCAGCCTCTATACCATTAGGCGTTTGGTTTGTTTGCACTAGTAGTGCCTGCTGTGAATTTTTTATCTTCAATATCCTGAAAGGTACACCTTGTACCGTACCTGTTTTCAGACGACATCATCCTCAGATGTACTTACGGTGTATTCCTACGGCCTCATATCAGGCCACCTCGTATCAAGAATGTACTTTTCGCCTGGTAAAACTAGCGAGAGGTTTTTGGTTTCGGGGAATTTTCTGTCAGAATCTAACGAGCAGGGCTGATTTTATCAGACTATTTTAGTCTGATTGTCTGAAATCTCAGACTCTTTTTTTCGCCTTTCCTGAAATTTCAGTATTCCTGTATTCTGAACTCTGAAGGCCTCAGACCTGTTAGTTTTTCAACTCTGAAAATTTCAGAGTACTTCATTGTGCGATACTGAGACTCGAGACTACAGGGAGTATGGCCCCTGAATTTGCCGAATTTCAGTCCTCCCCCCTCCCCCTCTCTCGAATTACATTCAATTCCCCCCCTGCCCCCCTCCCCCCTCCCCCTTCCCCCGCCCCCTCTTACTCCTGCTTCTCGCCAACTCCGCAACGTTTTCCCTAGGCCAAACTCGCTTGACAGATATTCGCTATTCACCAACTCGGATGCAGTTTTACAAACTTAAAACTTTTCAGACTAATGATTTTTTCAAACCTGACATTTCAGAGTACTCAGAACTTGGGAAATGACCCTCAGACTAAACAAAATCTTTTTCTCCCCTGCCTGAGTGGGTTTTTTTGAAACGTCAGCCCTGAACGAGCAGGAATGAGCTTCACTAGCTAGGAATGAAGGGGAGTGTTGGAATAACCGAAAGGTTATCATAAACATTCCCGAAGGTTCTCCACTCTCGCGTCACTCCATAACGAAGTGAACGCCTGTGTACTAGTACCGCAATAGCTCATATAGAGCACGCGGAAGGTCGAGGGTCGCCCGAAGGTCAACAGTCGAAGACAGTCAACGGTCGTGACCCTTGACTGCCCAGTAATCGCACAAGGCAGTTGCGAAATGCAACACGGTAACTGTCTACAATGGCAATAGTCGTGGTTACTGTAGCAATGTAATTCGGTTAATAAGGGAATGTACCCCTCAGAGTGCATGGCTAGCTAGGATTGCTATTTATATCCTTGTATCTCTATCTTATAATCATCTTGTTCTCTTTCAACTTATTAACAAGGTCACTACAGAGACTTCACAGTTCTCTCCTCACACACTCGGCGACTTTATCCTATTCACTTCGATCCTCAGTTATAACATCATGGTATGAGAGCTAGAGTGGATTATAAGGCCTGCCAAGCTCTTGTTCTTGCTAGAACAATCCCTCCATAAATTATTCATTACAGCATTCAAGACTCTGCACCACTATGGCTCCAGAAGGAAAAGCCACTGCAGACTCTCCGGGCCCACCATCAGCAACACCCACTGCACCATCTGCGGTGACCTCCGTCAGCGCTGCCCTCGTTGAGCAGCTGGTCGCCCGCATCAACGCTCTTGAAAGCCATCAAGCGATGAGCGTTGATGGCTCAAGTTATGCACGTGGTGTCGCTGGACTTCCTCTCCCTGGAGAAGACCGCCGCGTCAACTCCGAGAGGTCATTCACGTTTGACAACCGTCAAGCTTCAGCTCCTGCGCAAGACAGTCAACAACGCGCACATTCAGATACGATTGCAACAATGCAGACAAAATTTGTTCTGACATCAAAGCTGAAAATATCAGTTCCTTTCTATGGAAAGGACTTCTACACTTGGAGCTTCGAATTTGAGCTCCTCGCGACAACTGCGCAAATCTGGATGTACTACGACGGGAGCTTACCGTTTCCAACGGAAGGGACCATCCAAGAGAAGAACCAATATTACCACGAATCTCTTCTCGCGTACACCACTCTGCTCCGAAACCTCTCCCCCGACGAACAGCTTGGCATTCGCTCCTACAAATCAGAGTGGGCGCCCACGTACGCCTCCTGGGAGCACCTGCGCAACTCATACATGGCAACAGATCCAGTTACTATAAGTCGCCTTCTCATCCAGCTCACATCGGTCAAAATGCATCAAGGGGAGAAAGCGGGACCATATATTAACCGTTGCCGCAATCTGCGCGACCACATCAAGAAGTGCGGCGGATCAGTTCCAGACGACATGTTCGTCTCAATGGTCCTCTCCGGCCTCGGACCCGACTGGCGTCAATGCCAATCTCTGCTCCGTGCTCGAGCAACTGTCTCCGAATCGGCCCTGTGCGCCACGCTTCTCTCCGAACAAAAGGAGATCGACCTGTACAACGAGAAGAACACCAAGCGGGAGAAATTAGTCTTCTACGTTGGAGCCACTGAAGGGGAGCAGCACGAAAAAAAGGGGATTTTCTGCAAGTACTGCAAGAAGTCTGGGCACACTATCGATCGGTGCTACAAACGAAAGGCCGCCGACGAAAGGCGCAATAACCCCTCGAGCATTCAATCCTCAACGGCTTCAACCTCTTCCGCCACAACAAACACCATCTCGCCTCCTTCCGTCGCAAGCACCTCGCAGACACCTGCACGCATTACGACCAAGGACAAAGGAAAAGGGACAATCATGAGTTGCATGGCTCGCCGCAACAGAGGTTTCCGATACTACGATCGAGTAACATTCGCGATCGACGACCCCATCAACCCTGTTGCACCCAGTCAAGACAATGACCCCACCGTCTCTACCTGGATTAACTCCCCGCAAAGGTACCCACCTGACTTCGAGCTGCCACCACCAACGCCGGAATCGCCTCCCAGCATCTCGGCGAACCGGTACTTCGCTCTCTCGCCATACATCGGCGAAAAGGATCGTGTGGTTACGCCGAAGATCGCCAACATCGCACGACAAAGCCGCGAGAACATCAACACCTGGTACCTGGACAGTTGCTGCGGGCAGCACATGGTGGGATCGCCAACATTCATCAGCAACTCCAAACGCATGCGCCGACCCTGCAAGATCACAGTAGCAAACGACGGCACACTCAAGGCATACGACATCGGTGAAATATTCCTTGAAGCTGACGACACAAAATTCACGATTCACATTGGTGACGTGCTCGTCGCTCCAGATCTACGGTGTAATCTGCTCTCTTCGGCGCAGCTCATGCGGTGTGGAGTTGACATCCGAAGTAACCGCAAAGACAAGACCTTTGAACTATTCTACAATAACACTTACATCGGCAAGGCGGTTGACAACGACGGGGTCTTCGTACTGCAGTTCTCAGCGCAAGGCACCACCGGCGATTCTCACCGCACCCTGCTCCTGAAGACGACTCCTTCAGAGACACCGTCTTGGTCACATCCCACCGAAATGGATCTTGAGCGTCCCACCTCGGATGGCCTTCTGCGACTGCGTACCGTTCCGACTGCCTCAACCTCCAACCCAGCCGAGACTGGACCTGCATCAATGGAAGAAGACAGCGGCGCGTCAGCATCTGCGGAACCAGTCACTGAAAAACATGAAACACGAACAGGCAGTCCCGGCCCTGCACTCGGTCCTTTGGGAGAAGTCCTAGCACCAGAAGAAGCAGCTGCCAAAGAACAGGGCACCATCTCGGCAACAGAAGCAAGCGGTGCCACTGCAACTGAAGGGGGCTGGGGCGCCGAAGAAGGTGGCTGGGGAACCGGCGACACTTGGAGAGCTCCAACTCCCGAAGGCGGCTGGAGACTTACAAACCCCACTTATCCGGAGGCTCCTGGACTCCCCTCTGCGGAAGTTGCGGCGGTCGACCCATATTGGGCAACACGTGGCACCAGCTGGGGCGCTCCTCCTCTCCCCGATCAATACGTTCCTGACACACCAGAACCAATGCAAGAAGAGTCAGAGGAAGAAGAAACGTACAAATTCTTCGGAGAAGCAGCAGAACTGCTAGGACCTACCGAGGAACCGGAGTCGCCCGAGCAAGGACCACAAGAGCTTGAGTCATCGGCGGCGAGTACAACTACTTCCGAATTCCCATGAAGGGACTTCCAGTCCGCGACTGGCCCAATTGGTGCCTGCTTGTAACCGGAGACCAGGTCGATGCCGGCGACACCGACGACATCATCGGAATTCCGCTCGCACTTCTGGAAAGGAAGACAATTCAAGCGTTCGCTGCCGACACCGACGACGCCGCCGATGCAGGACCTGAAGGGAAGGCAAACGCCGAAGCAGCACGACACAAACATTATCAGAAAACAGTTGGCTATCGTGCGGAACCAGAAATCTGGCACCAGCGGCTTGGGCACCCCTCTCACACAACACTCAAGAACTCTCTGCAGGCTGGCGTCTTCGACGACGAAGCTTTACTCCTTCCCCGCGAAGGCTCCCTCACAGCAGACTCGGAAGACCCACCATGCACAGTGTGTCCTATTGCGTCACTAGCCCACAAGCCCTTCCCCGACCTACCGCCTGGTTACGAACGCTACAAACCGCTCGAGAAAGTCTACAGCGACTTTATGTGCCTGACGGAGGAAGGGCTCGATGGCGAATACTACACGTTGACCTTCATCAACGCAAGCACACGCCACGTCTGGGCCGTCAACACCGAATGCAGATCACTCGCCTTCGAATGCTTCATCACGTGGATGAAGCGGGCTGAACGACAATCCAAGCTCAAGCTCAAAAGCTGGCAGACAGACGGAGCCCTGGAATTCTTCTCAGACGAGTTCAAGGAGCTCTTCAGGAAGAAAGGGATTGAACACCTGGTGTC